CTGTACAAACGGCCACTTTCCATTTCCCCCCTTGCGTTTTTTCTATATAATTTAACTGTGTAAAACGGGCACCTGTCCAACGCGGCCGCGGCCACAAAAATTTAACACACAACCCCTATAATACTAAGCAACAATACCTGTCTAAGACGGTCACCTTAGTGAATCCATTACGTTTTGTCATAAATTGTGCATTGGCCCCTGGCGTTGTGGGCGAGCCGTCATAATCCAATCACCTGTCGTTGTTGTTAGGTAGTCCCTCCAACCGATCATGTTGCGTAGGCCCCTCCCACTGTTGACCAATAGCTACCAATTTTCAGCTGCAGGTGAGTTAGCGTGTGATCCCTCATAACCCATAAGCCCCGCCCAGAACTCATACACAAATCGTAAGTGAGATGAGTGGTTACTGTTTACCCAGTCTGTAACAAAGTAACAAAGGACGTCAACATGAACTTGTTACAGAAGCGTCCCTTGTTCTCGGAGTGGTGGCGACCCATGTGTTTGTTTTAACATGGCACTCGGTCTTCTTTGTCTGATACATTTCGTTTTATTGTCACCATTGTGCAAAATCAGCGACAAAATAAAAATTACAAACGAAATACAAACCAACAGCAACAACACCAACAAAGACAACAACAATGGGGCTACTTTCGATTGGGGCCTCAGATGGGAATGGTTTGTTTTCTTTATCTTGATCAGTCCTGCCTAAGACGGCCACCTGTCTTATGCGGCCACTTTTCTCCTTGACAATGGGTGGCCGTCTTACACAGGTTTGACTGTATATATATATATAACATACAGTGAAACTCTGACAGAACAAAGTCATCCAGCTAGACCTTCAATTTCATTGAGTCCAAGTGTTTGTTATAGCAAAGTGGGCCACAAGTTGCGTCACAATGTAGGGCCTTGCATACAGCAACATCTGTCTCCACAGACCAGCTCTTTATTCATCACATAGATTTAGATCTTTGTTGAGACGAGCCTTTCAATGTCCAGTAGCCAGGCGGGAGGGGTGGATATGGTTGTGATGCATGTATCTCTGCTGACTTTCCATGCTAGAAACGCGTGAGCCAAACACTCCCTCCCCCCCCCCCCCCCCCCCCCCGACACATGCCTTAACAACAGCCTCCCAACCAGGTTCTCTTGACCCCAGCATACACCAAGACACATCATGTCTTACACGTGCCTCAACAACGCACTTATTGGCGTAAAATAAGGCTTTTTATTCTTATTGGTCGCATAAGATGTATGCAATAGACTACAACATTAATAAGCATGTTATGATCCACGATCAATAGTCTCTTGGAATTGAATAGAAAACGTTCTTTACAGGAGAAAAATGTGTGAAGCTACATGATCAATGGGGGCATGGGGGCTGTTTGCCCTGCAAACCACTTCATTGAATCCAAGTTTGCTCATATTCATGTGTTCGTTGAATCCAAGTTAATTTGTTGATTGTAATGAATTTTTTAAATGGGGAATCCGTCTCCTTTTGTTGAATCCGCGTTTCACTGTAAAATTTATTACGGCTGGCTGGTTGCAGATTTATAATCAAGATAATCTGATCATTTTTGTCTTTCTGCAATGAGAATCTGCTCCATTGTACTTCATTACCTGATTTTGAATACTGTTAACACATATTTCACATGGATGGCTGGTGCCTCTATAAATAAATCATTGATGGTCAACACAAGTTTCACAGATTATTATTATTTCTTCCATGTAATATCATTTTATATATCTTTTCTGATACCTCTTGTTTGCATTGCTATATTGATGATATTGTTCCAAAGACTTGCTGAGGATGATGTTATTTAGGTTTGGAACAATATTATCGCTAGCCGTGTGATTCAACCGCCTAAGTGCGAAAAGACAAAATTTTTCAGGAGGAGCAAAAAACTGTTTTATTTCTTTTTGCTCGTACCTATAAATCTGAAATTCCGATACGTACATGTACTTCATAAAGGGATCAAAAAGTGATTTTCTGAAATTTTGTCACTTAGGCGGTTGATCACGCGGCTTGGGTTATATTCTCGTGGTCCTGGTTTTTCATAAAATACTGTGGGTGTCGCATTCAACGAGGTCACCTTCAACGAGGCAATCCTTTATCCCTGATTTTTCCTCTATATCTCTTTGTAAATGTACGTCAGCTCCAACGAGGTTGCAAGCAGACCGAAGTCGCTTTCAACGAGGTCGCAATAACCAAATAAAAGCAAGTAGCAGCCCCAAAAGCGAAGAATTTTTCTCCTTTCTCACCATCTCACGCGAAGCACAAGGCCCATCATACCCTCGATTCCTAACACATTGTATTGCTGGACATAGTGTGCCTCCTACTATGGGTCCCAAAGCCAAGAGGATGGGCGAGGGTTAGCGTACAGTAGGGATGGGAGGTGGTGAGTGGGAACGTGACGCGGGCAGTGAAAAACTGGATGAACTCTGGATGGCTTGGCCTAGATTTGATCTAGACCTTTTTTGGGGGTAAGTGTTTTACGGCGCTCCCAACTGCATAAGGTCATATAAGCGCGCGAGATCTAGACCTTCAGTTGTTTTTTTTCAATTTCTTTTCTTCTCCGGATCAGAAAATCCAAGCTCCCGCTCTTATTTTATGTAGATATCTAGGCCTATATGTGAGAGGGTATGTTTCCACAAGAGAAATGTTCGAAACCCTCCCCCCCCCCCCCCCAAAAAAAAGAAGAAAAAAACAGAAATGACGGTCAGAACACAGCTCAAACAAGCGCACACTGATGCTGTTTGAGATTTTCGTCATCAGGGGGAACAACTGTTTTAATAACTGATATTGGTACATCATCATCATCATCATCATCCAGTGCCAGATCTGCGACAGACATCGGCGATCATGATTTTCCATTCATTCCTTTGCTCGGATGCTCTCAGAAAAGCTACGTTTCCCTGATCTTTCCCTGTTACCTATTTGTTTAGGTTCCCTAAGTATGTTGTTCTGGGTCTACCCCTGCCTCGCTTGCCCTCAATTTTGCCAGTGAGAGCTAGATGTTCAAGACCCTTATGTCTATTCAGGTGTCCCAAAAACTGCATTTGTCGTTTCCTGATTGTTTTTAACATTGAGCTTCCCACGTGGGCTTCATCAAGCACTACCTTATTTGATTTCTTTTCCTTTCACGATACTCTTAGCAGTCTCCTAAGAAACCACATTTCTGTTGCCTTTATTTTATTTTCACTGTCTTTAGTGATTGTCCAGCATTCACAGCCATAGAAGGGTTGACCAAACATAGCATTTCAGGACTTTCATTTTGGTGTTCATTGATATGTTTCTATTTTTCAGATTGGGCTCATTTTTATTGAAACTAGCCTTAGCCATTGCAGTTCTCCTTTTTATTTCTGCGGAAAATTTGGTTAGCCTTCGTCACGTTCAACGAGAGGTCAGATCTAACGAGGACAACAAGCCGGTCCTGGCAACCTCGTTGAATGCGACACCCACTGTATCTGGATCCACTCTGAAGTAGGCCTACTCTTCACTTAGAAAACAGCTTGATTTCAAAGAAGTACATGTACTAGTATTTGAAAATCCAAAAGAACAAAATGGTTCTTTAATTCATTACACTATGTTTCTTTTTTTTCCCCTGGTGATTTATTATACATAAATGACCTTTAGTAAAAGATCTGAATGTCAACAAACTTTTATCTCCTCATCTCAACTAAAGAATAAATGAGTGTAGTGAGTAAACATACTTATATCGAAGTTTGGGAGAAGGGTGGGGTGTAAATGTGAGAGAAACCTAGAGCTAATAAGTCTGCTGCGCAAAGAATAATGCCTCAGGAGTTATGAGTAATCTAGGGATACGTTCTTTTGTTTAACTGAAGGGTATGGCAAAAATCTAATTCTGCTTTTCCCTACAAAATTTGTAATGAATGACAGAAGTCACTCCAATTCATGTCACAGGAACTTTTATTGTGTAATGTGTTGTAAACAAGTGCATTTACCTCCAGGTAGTTCCAACGAGATGTGTAAACATGTGCATTTCAATTCTAGCAAGTCATACAGATGGATTTTGGAGCTCCTAACAAAACATTTGAGTAACACTAGCAGCATCTTATCTTATTTGCCAAAATCCTTCCACTCCCATTGGATCAAATCTCAGGAAATATTTCACATAAAACATTCACTGCATAGGCTACATGATGCTGGTGACAAAAAATTACTTTTTGTTGGTGCTAGATCTAAAGCCCTGGTTACACGCAACGATAAATTGTATCAGATTCGTCGTATGAGAGAACTGTCCATTTTATCGAACTGTGTTGTCTGTTTACAGGTTCTAATCTATCATCAAGTTTTCTTTCGATTGAAGAGATTCCTCGTCATAAAGCCACCGTGTCTCTTTGCGACGACAGCGATTTGCCTGCTCTCTATGTGAAGGTTTCAAGCTCTGGACCTAATGAATGAAAGGCGAACACTGTACCTCTAGATCACGAGAGCCCCCCCCCCCCCCCCTTCCCTGTACATTTTGATTTAGCAAAACAGTGTCTTTAGAAAAGGGTGGCCATACTGTAGGTCTACCGTGTTGAGTGTAGAACCAGAAGCTATGACTTGACTGCCGATGTTCAAAGCACCGAGTGACCTTGATGCACAGCTTCACCCTTGACGATCAACTTAATAATAAAATAGCTAAAATATCTAAAATATATAAAATAACGCACCAAATCAGGTTCCCCGTGAGCAACTTTGCTTATTTTGAGACGCTGATTCCGAATATGAAATCAATTTTTACCTATGATAATTAATTAAAAAATTTTGAGCCATGAGTTTAGTTCCGCGCTGCGGAAAAGAGTCTCCAAACCACCGTTCAATCGTCCAAATTTTGTACAATTTTGTGGTTACACCTAACATATCGTCCAGTTCTTGTACAATTTATTGTTACGTGTAACCGGGCCTTAATGATTCATAAATGCTGCAATGATTGCATTAGACCGACTTTCATTTTGAATTTTTAGTCTCAAAAAGCACTAAGACAAGAACTACATCTACATCAGGTGTTTACTATACATTTTATTGTATGCAAGATCTGTTTACATCATGTAATAATTACATACACATTATGACATGGTATTTGGTTTTCAAGATGAATAAAACATGACATAAACAACAACTTGTACATTCTGTTTACAACTGAACCAGCTAGCGCTTGCTGCTAGCTCAAACAACGCTGACAACAATGTTATACTTAATGTTACGTTGCTCTTTACAAGGAGATCAAGAGGGCAGCACAATGTCTTCACTATTAGCCTTTTTGTTAAAGGTGTTGGAATGAAAAGTGGGACGATATCCATATATGTATATCATGTGTATACCAGGTATACCACTTTCACTACTCATGGTTACACATACGCAACTTCCAGCTGTAAGTATTCAAAAATTCATGTCACTAAAAAAAGGTTAATTTCATGCTCCTGGCTATAACTTTTTAATTGTTTCTGTAACGTCAATTTCTTTTCTTTTTTAAAATTTCTACATTTTATTTCTTTTCCAAAAGAAGATTTATGATTGAATAAAACTCAGTAGAGTCAAAACAAGACAAAATATCATATAGTGTAAAACTAAAGCCAGGGTAGGAAAAAAGTACTAAAGACACATTTTAAACATCAAACATACGTTTACTACTGGCATGAATAAAGCATTGTTGTGGAAAATGTGTCCAATCTCAAACAACCATATATATGAAATATCTAAAATCAACTAAACACCAAAACATTGGACTTCCATCATACTTGCAGTCATTTGACAATTTGTTACACTAAAGCACACAATAAGAGGACATTTCCCAAGCATTCTTAGCAAATACACTTTAGTTTCAGATGAGTCAAATTTCTTCATCTTCACTAGAAATACAATCTTTCCCATAGAACCCCATCAATACAACCAACCACCTTGAATCACATTACAAGCACATGCAAAAAAGAGTTGTTTTCACCTAAAGGCATCATGAAGTTTACAAAGTCACAAAGAAGTCTTCTGGATGCAGTGATCTGTGACAGAATAACTTTCCTTTCTTTTGTAATTCAGTAGCTTGAAATATTAAAGACTACTGTGGAGCACTTGCTATTCCCAGTATGACAAATTTGCAGTCAAAAGAACACTGCTAGTGTATAATTACATGGAAGTATTGAAAAAGAATCAATAAAAGCTAACACTAAGATCTTTGATCACGTGAAATTATTCAGATAACAATTTCAAACATAAACATACAGTCAGTTTTCTAGTTACAAGATCAATAGAGTTCCAACGAGCCCATTTTTTCAAAGGAATGCAAACTTATGTCTATTTGCATATATATATATATATAAATATGTGACAATTATTTAAGAAATCATTCTACACAGCAAATCATACATTAAGATTACATTTGTGCTGTCTCATTATGCATAACATTGACTAGGACCTAACACAAAGTGGTAACTCACAGCAACGTCAAAAACGGTGTACACATCACAAATTAAGGGGGAAGGGGGATATAATAACCTTCCTAACCATATTCTGATCAGGAATTAGCAGGAAGAAAATCAGAACTGTCTTGAAGCATTTCACATGCAAACTTATCAACTCGATAAGAAAAATAAGCAGCCACATTATCTTCAACTTATGACCCAATGGACTCGCTACCATCTGGCTCACCATTACAATTACAGCATATCATGTGTTCTTTAATTACCAATATTATCTACTTTTTTCGACTGACAGGCAACAAAAATTGACAAAGACTATGCAGACTATGCTCTCAAATATAATATTCACGAATGTCAGTGGCAACACTGCATCCTAATTCTCTGAATTACCTAGAATTGTACATTTGTAGACTGACCATCTTTAACCTTCTGTACAATGTACATCTGGAAATGGACAACATTTGAGGTTCAAGGTTGCCTATGAGATGGTACATGTATGTCCCGCTAAACACCTGGCTCTACTTCTTCTGTATAAAGATTTATCCACAAACACAGTGTGGATTTACTTAAAAAAGGCAGAAACTTTCCTTTGATTTGCAAGCGGTTTTTTTTTTTTTTTGGGTAAGATGGAGAATATAGGGAATGAGGGGAGTGAGGAAATTGACACTATCAAAAGACCTGGGGTCTGAAATGGGTATGTCACAGGTGGGCCAGATCTAGACAGCGAGTCCACTAACGTAACACCAAGACACGAGACTGGTGTTCTGGCTAATGAGTTTGACAGGAAAATCAGCCCTGACAGTTGGAGCACACACCCCCTGGCGACGAACGGGTTAAATTTAACTCCATAGACCTACTAAACAAAGGTCGACAAATACATAGAGAACTTAAGTCTTTGTCATCTAACAAACAAGCGGAAAAAAAACAACAACAAAAAAGTTTAAATTTGATGAACAGTACATCAATGGGATCACACAATTACACAGCATGTGTTCAAACAGGAAAGAAACAGAAAAGACCACAGTCCTTGTAAATGTTGATTGGCGAGAGTTTCAGTTTTGTTCATTCTTACCCCACTGATGCATTGAAAAACATTTACTTGACAAGAGATTTCAGCTGTAATTTTTTTTATAACTTAATAAAATGTATTCTCGTATTCCTACAAAAAAAAATTTTTTTTAAAGAACAACTTGGCAGCTGCCTGCAGAAAATTTCAAATTGCGTATTTGACCTGAAAAGTAGACACCTCACATTCATCCCATACTGTCCATTGCAAAAAAAATTATTATCATTATTATAATAAAACCCATGTAAATATATGCACTGACTAATTAGACCTCCACAGCCATAAAAACTGTATGTACAAAAAGAAGTACAATTCGGACGCTCATTAAACATACACGGCCATCAATCAAATAATATTTCTGGATCTTTAAAATCATCAAATATGGTGGGAGCCTCATCAGTATCACCTTGGGCTAGCCTTGCAGCCTTTTCTTCTTCCTCCTTCTTCCTCATCTTCTTCTTCTTCTCTTGTACCTTCTTCAGCCTGCAAAAAGACAGCAGCATGAGTAAGTCATTCATGTATTTAAATTGCACTTATTGTATCTGTTCAAAGGTTTTGTTATGGAACTCATTATCTGTTATCTGGTCTACTACTCCATTCTTAAGTGTAAGCTTGCTGAAATTATATAGAAATTAAAGATAGTTCCTTGATAATTTATCATACTTGAAGAAGTAGGTATTAAATCTTATTTGGAATATTTCAATACAATGACTTCTAAAATTGGGAACATCTGAGAGCAATATATCTGTCCTCAGAGAAATTCGCGCGCGCAACCCGCAAGTTGCCCATGCAACTTTTGGCCTCAGCGCAACTTTTACCATTTTTGTGAATTCGCGAATTTTAGGCAATTTTCTGCAAAAGTTGGACAAATAGTAATTCAATTTCGGTAAAAATAACCGAAATTTACTTCCACAACTAAAAATAACGACGCGAAGGGGGACAATTCGTACCTGAAATTAGATCTACCACTTCCTTTCCCTTTTGCACTACGTGGATGAAATCGGGTCGGGACACAGTCGCCCGACTCGTTGCCTGAAAACAACGCGTTTGTTTTTGAGGCAACGAGTCGGGCGCGATCGATTTGTGCCACGATAGCCACTTTGCGCCGTCAGTCTGTCGAGCAAACCGACCCGTCCGGACCTGACCCCCCCAATAGTCCTGTTTGGACTGAATCATCTTCTACTTCTTCTAGATCTAGCTAAATCTAGACTCTAGATCTAGATATCTATAGAGTGAACTCAATCGTAAACACTATCGTCTGATTACTTTGCTTTCTTGGCTCCGTAGCACCAGGTAGATAGATAGATCTAGCATATTGTATAAAAAATTGTGAAAGACTTTACATTTTTGGCTAGGAGGGCAGATCTAGACATGGATCGATTCATCCAGAAAATCCCTAAAGGGGTCGTTCAAATATAATCTTACATCTGGAAAAGGCCTAAAGCGGTGGGGGTCTTGATTCCAGTAAAAGAAAAATGTAAGAAAGAGGGGGCGGGGGGTCCTGAACCAAAGTAATATTACACTTTTGTAAGGTGAAAGAATAACAAGGAAAATAATGTATGACAACATAACTTTTTAAAAACAAAACATGACATAAAAAAGAGTAAACTCTGCTATTCACTTAGAAGTTTTTCCGGAAAAGTTCCTCTTATACCAAATTTAATTATTATGTCACATGTGTGTGTATGCATGTTTTTCATGAGTACTATTTATGTAAAAGTAAAGCACATAGACTACCAATGATTGTAACACAGATTTGCGCAATATAAAATGTCATATTATTTATAAGTAAGCGAATAAATATTAGTATTTCAGCATTTTTTTTTTTTAAATTGGGGGGGGGGGGAGGGGGAGGAGAGGAGGAAAATGTAAGAAAAGTGTAAAGGGGGGAGGGGGCGGGGCAAAAATCCCCCAAAAGGTGTACGATTATATTTGAACAGCCCCAAAACCACGCTGGTCACACCTGCCCAACGTCAGCGGGAGTTTAAGTTTAAGAACCTGACACACGTCTATGCAACCTCCATGCAGTTGGGTTTTTTTGTGTATTTTTTTTGTTTTTGGTACGGTAGACATTCACATTTAACTTTTGATTTTGATCCAACAAAATTCTCGTTGGTTACTTTGATTGCAAAGACCATACCAACAATGTATTCAAATAATTCCTTGACATTTTAGCTATACATGTCTTGCAACTTTTCTTGCAACTTTTGTTGATTTTTCTTGCAACTTTTTGCAACTTTTACCATTTTCAAATGCAACTTTCTCTGAGGACAGATATATATGGGGTCATCAAGTACAAGTCAGTAGTAAGATACAAGCAGAGTAAATAAAGTTGTTCAAATGCAGAAAAAATGTCAGCACAATAACAGTCATATCTTACTATAAACAGATAAATAGATCCTGGACACCACACTCAAGAACTCCTTAACCATTATTATAGCACTTAGAGCAGCATTGCGCAGTTGATTGATTTGCACCTAAAGCGGCACTGCGCAGTGGTTAAATCACTGAGCGTACATGGCACGTGACTGCTGTGGTATGCTTATGCCATTTCTATGCGATCAAGGAAAAATGTTCGATTAGAATTGACAGAAAACGAGGCTATAAAGCGGTTCTTTCTTTAAGTTTTAGAAAGGCCAAAATTGACCCAGAAATAGTGCGTGTGTGAATGTCTAAAGTATGGGCTCTTGTGGCCTAGAGGTTAAGGTGTTCACCTCTCATTCAAAAGGCGAGGCACTGTCGTGGCACTTGCCAGCGACAAACTGAGAATGGGATAGGGAAGGGGAGTGAGCGATTGGGAGTGGGGGTAGGGAGGTGAAGCCCAGTGCGCGAGATGCTCACATCTGTGAGGCACTGTACTGTGTGTGAGACTAAACTGTGTAGGCCCTACATGACCTACTAAAGCCTGGTGTGTCGAATAGGCCACTTGGCGGGTATGCGGACTTAATGAAGAATTAATGCATGGACATGGACAGTAGCGTGGCTTTTTGCCCCCATTTATGTTCGTGGCCCCGCCAGGTACCCACGAAGCATGTCGATAAAGCAGAGTGAGCCCCAAAAAAAGGCGATATACGAAAAATTGTTTAGTGAAGATACTGACGAAAAAATTTCGTAATTGGAAAATATGTCGATATGTCAAAATATCGATACATCGGCTGTCGATATAAGTCGATTATGCTCAGGGTGTCCAGCAATATTTGCTGAAAAAATTTACTACCTGGAAAAAAAATTTACTACCCAGCAAATCAAGCCCCACACTAGCTCGAAAAAGGGAGTTAATTTGTGCTATCACTAACATAATATTATCATTACATAATATATGGAACGAAAATAACATGCAACAACGTCCAGTCAACAAAATTGAGGATAGACAGACGATCACAAGCTTGCTCGCCGCTAGATTTAGTTTTAGATCTAGTGATGTTTGTACAGCGCTCGCAACTGCATAAGGTCATATGAGCGAGAAGGGGTGGATGTCAACAGAAAAATCCAAACGAGGAATCAGGCTTACTCTGCTCACCTTTCTATCCTCAACACCACAAAGTCTGCTTCGACTGTTATAATTTACTATCACCCATCCAAAGTTTTTGTCCTCTGGTGTTGCCTTAAGCACCCCTTACCCCTCCTCCGAGTGCATCTTTAAAAAAAATCAATGATCCCCTACCCATTCCGTAGTCCTAGGCCTATACTTCGCAACGCTCAGACTTCGAATGAACTTTGGCGACCCCAACAACAAACGCCGGTGCTCACGCGCGCAGGTTCATTGACCGGTCAGGATGGCGAGCCCGACAATCTAAGAATTAGACGACGCTTGTACTTTCTTTCCC